ACTGGAATTTAAGAAGAGTTCTGCAATGTGTGGAAAACAAATATGTTTTAATAGGTTGCTGCTTTAAGTGACTGAGTTTATTTCCAAGAAGGTCATGACCATAAAGTAGAAAACTAACTCTTCCTTCGTAGCAGTGGCAAAAGGGGAACAGAAAATACCAACACTGAAATGTTATCTTTGATCTCTTAGAGGAAGTGGCAGAATGTTGGGGGGGGGGGGTTTGGTGTTGTTTTGTGGTGTCTGGTTTTTTGTTTTTCTTTTTTTTTTAAAGTTTCTTTTTCTTTTTTTTTTTAATGTTTCTTTAAAAAAAACTTGCTCTATTTTTCTCACTTTTCTCAGTTTCGAGTCAATAAATTATCTGGAAAACCATTTAAACAAAACCAATCATGTCAGTAATGCATTACTATTAATTTCTCATTGTTTTCACCTTTCTCTGACAACTGGGGGACAAAAAGTGTGCCTACATACTTCATTTTCACATCCTAAGCACCTGACTGCTCTGTTCACTCCTTTTCTATAGCCATTAAAACACGCATAGTTAGTATGCAACAGTGAAGAACTTAAATTACAATTTTTATTTCCCTCCTCCCCCCCAGTGTCAACTTAAATAGCTTTCCCTTTCCTTCTGAAATTTCCTGCCTGTGGAACGGGTAAGGGAAAGGAATTATCTTGTGGATCAGAAGACTAAGCCAGTCCCTTTCAGCATATTTGTTGCTAAATCTGAGTGAAGATTGATGCTCTGGGCAATAAGAACCAAAGCAGGACGTGATACAAAAATTGCTCTCAAAATCCAGCTTACTAGACCCATCGCTTGCAGACCCCTGGACATTCTCCAGTGGTAATGAGGACCTCAGAAAGCAAACTGACGCTTAAGGAAACAGGCCTGTCTTTCTCATCAGCTTTCACGGTTCGCACAAGCGAGGCAAAACATGGGCTGGGTAAAAGAAGCGAACAAGGTAAATAACGCAGTTGTATAGAAGTGGGTGTTTCACACAGCCGAGCAGAGAGGAAGCTCGGTTGGCTACAAGGGGCCTGCTCCAGACGACGTTATTCTGGGTCTTTTCACCAAACCCTCAGCCTTCAGTGTCAAAACCTCAGAGAGCAACTTGAGTAAGATAACGCTCTGGATTCCTACAGAGGCTCAGGCTTTGTCTGTATGCAGTGTAAAAGGTGTGACATTAGCAGGCATTAACTGGCCTAAGAACATCGTAACATGTACTTACGTACATCAAACAAGCCATGTTTGCGGCAACCTCAGCTTTGACTCCTTTGGCTTGAACCAACTAGAAGTTGGACTGCCTTCTGCATGCTGAAAGGCACTGGTCAGCAAATGGACATCTTATTCTGTATTAGTCCACACTATACCTGAACTAAGCAATTTAGGGCGTTCAATAGAAAAGACACACACAGCATCCTATTAGCAGTATAGTTTTTCATCTTTGGTTAGCAACCTCTGCTCCCAAACAGAAGATCCTGCAGAATTTCACATCTGGTTAGGTCCCTTCCTTTCCTCCAGTCTTTCTGGCACTTACTCAGTACACTTTTCACTGCCACGTCATTCTGAAGTCTTCTCGAAGCTAGAGCGCCAGTTTGTTTCAGTAAGTTTCACCTGTCCAAGTACTTTGGGATATAGCCAGCTCCCCCATCTGATAATCCCCTCAATTTGGGCTGGTTTATTACTCTCCGTCATGTAACCGCAACCCTTCCTACCTCAAACTAGGCACCCAATGATATTTTTAAATGTCTTCTGGCCTACAATATTGTTATACTGCCTTCTGAAACCTGACACCACAAGCAGAAAGATGTCCTTCTGGACGACCTGTGGTCCCTTTGCACAGTTTTGGGAATTTCCCAAGCCTCATGGACTTGCCCGCCTGCTGAAGGCTCTGGAGTTCTCTTCCTCGGTGGGACTTACAAAGCAGATGCCACCCTTGGAAAGTTCACGCTAGCAGATTAAATGCCAAAGAATCTGCTAAGGCTGTGAGAAAAAGAGGATGCTGATCCTGGTGTTCCATCACCCCCACATTTTATTACTCATACGAAACTGTATGTGAACAGTTGCCCCATGTGTTAAAGATTTACAGATGATGTTAAAAGTAACTAAAACAAAAACAGCATCTCACTGAACAAACAAATCCAAACTCAAATTGGATTGTTTTTAAATGGAAAGACTTAGCTTAAAAGGATAAAGCTCAGCTAAAAGTGAAACTTCAATTGTTCAGTGAGAGCACCAAAATCAGAACTGCATCATTCTGTCAGAATATTTAATATTTCTTTCAGTCAGGGAGGTTTTCGGTTTCTCAGAAAAGCTTTTGGTCCTCGGTAGGTGGTGCTATAGCCCTTCGGTCGACCCAGGAGTAAAAGACAGCCCTGTTTCCAGAAGTTCTGGAAGCAAGAAGAAACAAGACAGAAAGCAAGTTTCATGGAGTAGTATAATCAATGTCACCTCACCGCTTAAGGGGAGGGGATAGCGGGGGAATCTACGCTGAACTTGTAAGTTAAACACTTACATCAGCTCATAGTTTGGATGGCGTTTAAAGTCAGCAGTTCCCATCTCACTTCATGCACAGGTATCATCATACCATATACTACACGAAAGAAATCAGTGATTGTACAAGAGAACTACAAAATTACCACATTGCCTTATCTATAAAAAAATTAGAAATAAAGAACTGCACAAATATTTAGCCCTTTTGACATCATATTCTAAGATCCGATGAGCACTTCCATCAAACGGTCTGAACAAACACTTGAAGAAAATGGAAAATAGTGGTATTGATATTGTTCTAAGGGACAAGTTCTGGCTATTAAAGCTGAACGTGTCTGTGAGATGGGTTATTTACACACGTTGTGAAACCTGCAAAGTTTTCAGTCAGAGCCCCAAGGGGCACCAAGAGGCCTTAACTGCCCCGAGCAGCCTGCCCCGTCCCTCTTGGCCACCCCTGCGCATAGGCCCAGGACCTCCCTGCAAGCACAACCCTCACCTCGTCCCTGCAGGGCTACGCCGCGGGTTGGCTGTGCCCAGCCCTGTCCCCTGCAGCCTCCCTTACCGGGCAGGGGGACCAGGGCATCCTGGCCACAGTCATGTCCCCAGTCCTGCTTGGCCCCGTCTCCTGCATGAACCTCAAACCCATGTTGCAGCAGTGTCTCTGCTGCTGCCGACTGAACTGCGGACCTGACTTGTTAGTCCGTCTCCTCTGGGACTGTCAGTGGTCCCTGCCAGTCACCACCCCAGCCCTGGTCAGGGCACCCTGTTGGAAAGGGCATGGTGCTGCCCGCGCTGTGGGTGCCCTCGGCCCCAGCTTCCTCGCCCTCACTGGGGGAGCGCCGCTCAAGCTGCTCCCTGATATTAAGTCCGATGAACAACTATATTCATTTGTTAGACAAGAGCATGCAGTGATCCCTCTCACAAATGCATAAAAGTCATCCACACAACAATAGACAGGTAAGGAAGAACAGAAGTATTTCACGGAGACTTATCTCCCGCCTCCTACAGAAAACCCTCAAAGGGACTGCCAGGCTCTGGGAGACCAGTGAACGTTTGCTCTGTTAGTTTTACCCGCTCATGTATCAACATATCTTCTCCAGCAACGTGGGAGCAAGCACTAAGAAGTCTGCTGGAAAAGTTTCTAGCTGCGTATCAAATTTGAAGCAACACACTGCCCCAGAGCAGAGGAGGATCTGATGCAGAGAGCTTATCAGTCACCCAATAGCTACTTCAAAAGATCTAAACTTCAAACACCAAAACCACCCCAAACAAACAAAAAAACCCCACCCAACCAAACCCCCACCCTCCTCCTACTGTAGAAGGAAGGGAAAGGCACTCCCTTGCAATTTTTTCCAACTACTATGCAACTGCTATCTCGGAAACAGAACCATTAAGGTGGTGTTCTTGCAGGAAGATTTATTTATAGGAACAAGGATCTGACCACTAACGCAGCAAGACCCAGTACTGCAGGCCTGGCGGACACAAAACCTCTGCGGAATTCCACAACAGTTGCAAGCGAGAACTGGAGGTCGGGATGGAATTTTGCCATGGTGGTTATTTCCGTATCACTGCCAATGTCTAGGGTCAATCCTAAGATGAAAATTAATACTGAAGTAGTTTAATACTTGTGTAATATATATAAAAAGATACTTTCTTTTTGCATACCATATTAATAATTACATGTATAACTATATCGTATCAAAATACTGTACGCGCCACCACGCACAAGGCTACAACAGATGCATCAAGGAAGCATAACATTTTACACGTTATCAGGAAACGTGCACCAGATCCTAGGCACGAACAGTACGAGATTAGAGGGCTCTCAAGTCTGATGCCAGAAGTACCAGATGAACTATGAAATACCATCTCAAAGCCAGAGACGTCAATCACGCACGAATAAAGCGGCCCAGCTCTACGGTACAGAGGAAGGACTCGCATTGCGTCAGGGACAGGTACAGGACTACAAAGACGGAGGACAGGTGGGGAATTCTCAGTGTTTCACGTGAACAGATTACCTTCCAGCCCTGTTTTATTCCTTGAGTGAGGACTAAGAGAGAAACTGATTCGACTGCGTGAATAAGGCCTAGTCGTCTAAAAATGCACCAGTTTAAAGGAGTTTCTTAAAAATTTTACTCAACTCCTACCCTTTTGTGGAAATCTCCGTTTCAGATAGCTCACAGTACTTGTCAGCTACAGCTTTAAGTCCAAAAGAGTTTGCTTTGGTTTACTGAATCAGTTAAGGCAGTCTAAATTTGGAAATCATCTCACCTCAATCAAAGATCTCCTCAAAGTCCTGATTCTTGAAAGGAGATCAAAAGAATCTTTTCAGATGAAACTGTACCTGAACTGTAGATCCATGGTGCAAGCAATATTTAAGACACGCGTATGTAGTCAAGGAGCTATATGCTAGTTTTATTTGTAAAATACTTTATTCCTAAGAGCAAAATACCGTAATTTTATTTTATAAAAGTTAGCAAAAATTGATACATTTGAAACAGAAACAAGAAAACTATTTCTACTTTTATTCAATTCTCTTTTCAATATGGAAGCTATAGGTATGCACCACACTAACAGATTTCAGTGCCAGACAGGTCATTCAATAAATATATCATTCTACCATTAAAATCTGTGAAGGACAGTGAAAAAGTTTCATAAAACTACTGAAAAAATATAAGCATTTTTGGCTTTTTCTGAGGTTTGGAACTAGTAATAGCTACACACAACAAAGTTCTTGGCATTCACAAGAACGATTGTATAGAACAGTAACAGCAGAATTTGTTAGTAGTAAACCCGAACAACCAAATTTGCCGTACAACATTTCTAGTAAAAAAAAAAACCAACAAAGAACCAACCAACACATCAGAAATTCAGTCTATTTCTTAAATCCTACAGAAGACTTCTGCAAGGAAGTGGTAGGGGAAACTTAAATTACTAATTTCATATGTGATAAGGCCATTGCATATCCTAACTTGCAATAAAAAAGCTGATCCTATACTGTATATAATAAACTGCCTGTTTGTAATGAACAGAAGTTAAAGTGACAACAAGTAACTTCACTATTTTATCCTATTGCTAACAAAAAAAACAAACCATGAAACCTTTGCCTTGGAGAGAACCGATTTAGTTATACCTTGTTCTGCTATGTACACGGGCATAATTTTGGAAGCCACAGTTGCATCAACTTTCAGAGGTGAAACTGGTTCCCTGTGTCAGCCTTCTGAGAAGCTTCTTTCTGTGACAAAGCCGGACATCTGAGACTACGCTCAGACATAACGCAAGTGGCAAGGCAAGTTCACGCACCAGTTAGCCAGCACGTAGACGGTGAGAGGACTGTGTGACTGATGCTGGAAGAACAAGTAACAGAAAGGCATATACCGAATACTTCCTCTTTTGAAAACAAACAAAACACCCCAAACAAACAAACAAAAAAACCCCCAAACAACAAACAAAGAACCCACCCAACAAAAACCGCCATTAACTTCTGTACAGTTACCACTGTTGAATTTCAACTTACAAATGAAACTGAGGGGAATGTGAAATTGAATATATATAGTCATTCATTTTTATTTATTTTTATGAGTTTAACATCCAAGTAATTTTCAAAGTTAGTTTGTTTGTTTTGGTTTTTTTAATATATAATTCAGTGCACTAATAAATCTTAGTGTTGCATGGACAGAAAGGAATGGCAAGGGCATGAATATTTATTATTGACAATAACTTCTTCTTCTAAGTGATAGGGGAGCCAATGCGAAGAGATGCTTTGCTGGACCTCACACTCACCTACAACGAGGGGCTTGTTGAGAATGCGAAGGTCAAAAGCAGCCTTAGCTGCAGTGACCATGAGATGGTGGAGTTCAGGATCCTGAGGGGAGAGAGGAAGGTAAAAAGCAGGCTCACAATCCTAGACTTCAGGAGAGCAGGCTTCAGTCTCTTCAAAAGATCTGCTAGAAGAGTCCTACGGGATTAAGGCCCTGGAGAGAAGGTGGGCCCAAGAAAGTTGGTTAAAATTCAAGGATCACCTCCTCCAAGCTCCAGAGAGATCCATCTCAACAAACAAGTAAGGCAAAAATGCCAGGAGGCTTGTGTGAATAAACAAGGAGCTTCTGGACAAACTCAAAACACAAAAAGGAAGCATACAGAGGGTGGAAGAAAAAACAAGTAACCTGGGAGGAATGCAGTGACATTGAGCATCCAGGGATGAAGTTAGGAAAGTTAAAGCCCACTGGAATTGAATGTGGCCAGGGATGTCAAAGACAACAAGGAGGGCTTCTGTACGTACATAGGTGACAAAAGGAAGGCTAGGGAAAATGCGGGCCCACTGCTGAAGGAGACAGGGGACCTGGTGACACAGGACACAGAAAAGGCTGAGGGATTCAACACCACCTTTGCCTCAGTCTTTATTAGCAAGACTGGCCTTCCGGAATCCCAGGTCCCAGAGACCGGGGGGAAAGGCTGCAGCAAGGAAGACACACTGGGTGGAAGAGAATCTGGTCGGGGAATCCTGAAGCAAACTGGACACACGTTACGTCCAAGGGGCCTGATGGGATGCGCCCACAAGTGCTCAGGGAGCTGGCTGATGTCATTGCGAGGCCACTCTTGATAACCTCTGATCGATCAAGGCGAATGGGAGAAGTGCCCGAAGACTGGATGAAAGCAGATGACACTCCTGTCTTGAAGAAGGGCGAGGAGGAGGACCCAGGGAACTACAGGCCAGTCAGCCTCACCTCCATCCCTGGGAAGGTGATGGAGCAGCTCATCCTGGAAACTATCTCCAGGCGCACGAATGACGAGAACACCACCAGGAGAATACCACCAGGAGTAGTCACAGCATGGCTTCACCAAGGGGAAGTCACGGTTGACCAACTTGATAAAATTCTACGACGAAATGGCTAGCCTGGTAGATGACAGTAGAGCAGTGGATATTGTCTACCCGGATTTGAGGAAGGCCTTCAACGTTGTCTCCCATAAGATCCTCACAGACAAGCTGCGGATGTACAGGCTGGATGAGCAGACAGTGAGGTGGACTGGAAACTGGACAAATGGCTGGGCCCAGAGAGTGGTGGTCAGCAGCACAAAGTCTAGATGAAGGCCGGTGACTAGCAGAGTACCCCAGGGGTCAATACTGGGTCTGATCCCGTTTAACAGCTTCATTTATGATCTGTATGATGGGCAGAGCGTACTCTGGGATGTCCTAGTGGACACTAAGTTGAACCTGAGCCAGAAATGAGCCCTTGCCACAAAGAAGTCTAATGGTACCCCAGGTTGCATTAGGAGGATGTTGCCAGCACTGGTGAGGCCACACCTGGCGTGCTGGGTCCAGCTCTGGGCTGCCCAGTACAACAGAGGCACAGACATACTGGAGAGAGTCCAGCAAAGGGCCATGAAGATGAAGAAGGGACTGGAGCATCTCTCCTGTGAGGAAAGGCTGAGAGAGCTGGGACTTCAGTCTGGAGAAGAGAAAGCTCAAGGGGGATCTCATGGATGTATATAAAAACCTGAGGGGAGGTGACAAAAAGGACAGAGCCAGAAGGACAGAACCAGGATCTTCTCAGTGGTGGCCAGTGAGAGGACCAGAGGCAATGGGCACAAACACACATAGGAGTTTTCCTCTGAACATCAGGAAACAGTTTTTTTTTTTTTTTACTGTGACAGTGACTGAGCCCTTGCGCAGGTTGCCCAGGAAGGTTGCGGAGTCTTCATCCTTGGAGATACTCAAAAGCTGTCTGGACATGGTGGTGGACAACTGGCTCTAGGTGGCCCTGCTTGAGCAGGGGGAGTGGATCAGATGACCTCCAGAGGTCCCTTCCAACCTCAAACATTCTGTGACTCTCCGAATAACAACTTAAAATCTTGAAATGTGCAGTGAACAAAGGCAGGATGACAAGTCTCTAGAACAGCAGCCTACCCAGACAGCAAAGCAAACATGCCTAGCCTTGTAGACCTGAGTATTAAAGGCTATGATTATGATCTTGAGAAGGCGTACCACTGGATGCTGGTCATCTCTGACCGCATGTGAACAGTACAGCATGTGTCCTCAGTTTTAACTGAAGGACCAATGACTTGAAACTGATGGAAATTACTATTTCTCAAATCTGAATCAGGATCCAAATCCTCTAGACGAAAGTTGCAGCAGATTTGCATCTTGTGGACATCCAAACCAGTGGATGAGATATGCCACTGAACAGCAGACCAAGCCTTTGAAGAAGTATTTTCTTTAATTTTCATCAAGAAAAAACAGAACCAGTCATTGGACTGTTTGTTCTGGATGCTTTTTTTTGGCTTTTGTAGAGCTAAATCAGAGCAAAGAAAATATTACCAACTGTACTTACATTGTTGTCTGCCTCCTTCCTTATCCTACAACAAAGACTGCTATAGGAGGCAAAAAAAGTGAGAGATGTAACAAGTTAGCTAGATGCAATAATTTTTTTTTCCTTTCTGCATTAGATATTTTTGCTTAAAATATCCAATTGTCAAAGCAAATTTGATTTCTCACACATAGTGAGATAGTTTAGCTGGCTATGAGTCTTCCTCCAAGGAGGACCATTCTTTCCTCTCCACGTTTCTATCTGCTTCTGCTGACTTGATGCACAGTGCATCTTTTCTAATCAGATTAATCTTTCATAGTCAATGAAAAGAAGGTGCTTTTAGGGGAGAGCACATTGCAAATGCTACAGGGAACAGCGGAAATAATTGCTGAGGAGCACAAATGCTACTTATACAAGGAGTTAGGCTTCCCAAGTCTGCTAACTTTGGTCTCATGAAATAATACTATTTAGTGCTGCTGACAACTCGGTATAATAGGACAACTCAATGTAATAGGCTTCTACGTGGGATTTATAAAAAACTGCTAAATTAAGATTTGAGACAGATGTTAGAGAGCTTCAGTCCGTGAGATTGATAGTGTCACTTTCAAATGGCTTTACTGAAGTGGGACTCTGTGGAGGACTCTTTGCACTCAATGATGGCACTGCCAAGACTTTCCGGCGGATTCCAACTGTAGCCTTTTTATGGTCATGTCTGAGACTGCGGATTGTGCTGTTTATGGCAGCCACGCATGCCTTCCAATCATATCCAGTTTCCTTTAGATCAAAGGATGGATAATTCTCTTGAAGAAAATCTAAAAATAAACAAGTATATAATAGTAAGTTATCAATTATTTATGCAAGCTATGTACTCTTTTTGGATGTAATTAAGCCAAAACAAGTGCATGCTACCAAAACACAACAGCTAGGCATATTACAAGGCTTGAAGAGCAAAGCTAGAGGGCAGATATCTCCCCCCCCCCTTTCTGTTTAATTTGAAAATGAGTAACAAGAGGTCTAAGCATAAAAACAAAATACGCAAAGAAAGCATGTAAGCACATATGTCGGCTTGATCCCTTGAAGTGCTGAATAACTTCAGCTTCTAATGTGGTCAGCCAGAGCAAAGAAATCTCGGGCTCCATTTCAGAATGACCAGTATTTGGCAGGACCAAGCCCTCACTAAAATGAAACACAGCAATTCAACATAACACAGCTGTAGAGGAACAACAGTGCCAGAAAAACTGCAAGAGCTTGTTCCTTACCATACTGTGACAAGATCAGTAAACAAATACTTGAGTTCGGTAGCAATGGGATAAATAAGGTAAGACTATGGCACCTTTCTCCTCTTCAACAAGTAAAATGAGTAGTTTTTAAAAACATTTTTTTTTTTTAATTACTGAGGAGTGATCATCCTTCTGAGCTTAGCTGAATTACATGTTTTCTCTAAGCAAGCCCCTAAAAGATTTAAATAAGCACCAGAAAGGAATTCTCAGCTGTAATTTCAAAACAAAGGCAATATTATTTTTACTTCTCTGATTAACATCTAGATTTACCTTAGTAGAATGAAACGTATAGCTAGTTGATATCATGTCAGTTTTGTTCTTCCATTGCTCTCGCATATACTAGCAAATAAAAATTTAATATAGTATCATTGTTTACAGTTGATAGTTTAACTTGTAGTTCCAAACCTGGAAACCTATTTTGCCAGAAAAGCATGGGTCTGAAGGAAGAAAATAACAGAGAAAAACTTGTGCTCTTGCAGTTTACTCTGCTCCAGAGGGGTGTGGGGGGGAAACCAAGAGCGCCTTAGGTTCTGTCATTCCCAGGATGCTCCTGTAACAAACTATGCTGACAAAGGGACACACAAGCTGTTGGCTGAAGCAGCAGCCAGGCTCTCTTCCCCTCCATCCCCGACAGCAAATTCAAGAAAATGCTTGGCCTCAGAGTTACAGCCCAGAATAGGAATTCCTACCACCAGGCCTACAGAGCCTTTGTACATGGCCCACAAAACAGCTTTTAAATTATGCCTTTTCTCTCACAGGAATTGACCGATTGTTGGGACTACAGTAAGGCTATGTGGGGCCCCTTCCTGCTCTTGCAGGGTTACATTCAGGGAGCTGATGCTGCCATCCAATCAGGCTACGTTACAATGTTAAAGAAAACAGGGCCAGGGACTGCCCTCTGGCCCCAGAGCCAAATAACACGGCCTGACTGGAACCACAACACAGAGCACTTTGTCTCTCATCTGCTCTGGAGCCTGCGTGGTGTTCCTGCAGCCCTAAGACACACTTAATACATCTTTTGAATGCTTCTTAAGCTCAAAATGTCATGAAACGAAATATGTGTACTATGGGAGTACGTAGAGACGCTTAAAGTGGCAAAGCTTCCTAGGCTAGTGGAGAAGGAATATATACAGTTTGGGAAGCCCACTCTTACGTATAGTCTTGCCATACTGGGAATGGTTTCTGGCATGCTGTCCCTCAAGCCATGCTAGACAGCGCCCCAGAGAGTACAAGTCCCAGCTCCATTTTATTGAGCACTACTGCTGTATCTCAGAGGCAATCTTGCCACACCTGCATAGCTGTTAGGCTGCACTGTCCAGATCTTCACAACCCTTTCAACCTCCCTATACTCCAGACATGGAAGAGAAGCAGTTTCAAGATTTGTTAGGAGGTGCATGTTGCAAAAGAGTGTGATGAATCATAGAGTATCTCAGGTCAGAAGGGACCCATAAAGATCATCGAGTCCAATTCCCTGCTCCTCGGAGGACTACCTAAAACTAAATCACATGACTAAGAGTATCATCCAGACAAGGGTAACTAGTCAAATATGCAACCTTACTAACCCAGTGAGTACTATCCCACAGTGATATCGTAAGGACACAGGAGGCCTAAGGACACAGGAGGAAGTAAAACCCTACATCAAGCCAGTCGTGTTGGGAAACATTGAAGGCACTCCACTAGTACACTGCCTGCAGCCTAGGATCCAGCCCAGTAAATAATATCCCACAAGCAAAACTTAAGAATTCCGGGCAAAGTATTTTCTCTTCAGATTTCTTATAGAAAAAGCCAACTTTTACAATGAAAATACAACAAGAACATAGAAAACTAAAGAAAAGATGGAAAGATTTCTATATTGCATGACCAAACCTTTTCAAATATGTTGAACTCTCTCTTTAAGATACTGTAATAGCCACGGAACAAATAGCCAAAAACCTGATGATCTTTCCTTCAATACCATTGTTTGTGCTGGCCATGCTTACATCTTACCAGATAATGCCAACTTGTCTTCAGTGTGATAACCCATTGTGCTGGTTTTGGCTGGGATAGAGTTAATTTTCTTCATAGTAGCTGGTATGGGGCTGTGTTTTGGATTTGTGCTGAAAACAGTGTTGATAATACAGGGATGTTTTCATTACTGCTGAGCAGTGCTTACATAGAGTCAAGGCCTTTTCTGCTTCTCACACCACACCACCAGCGAGTAGGCTGGGGGTGCACAAGAAGTTGGGAGGGGACACAGCCAGGACAGCTGACCCCAACTGACCAGAGGGATATTCCACACCATATGACGTCATGCTGAGCATATAAAGCTCGGGGAAGAAGGAGGAAGGGACGGACATTCGGAGTGATGGCGTTTGTCTGCCCAAGTAACCGTTACGTGTGATGGAGCCCTGCTTTCCTGGGGATGGCTGAACACCTGCCTGCCCATGGGAAGGAGTGAATGAATTCCTTGTTTTGCTTTGCTTGCGTGTGCGGCTTTTGCTTTCCCTATTAAACTGTCTTTATCTCAACCCACGAGTTTTCTCACTTTTACCCTTCCAATTCTCTCCCCCATCCCACCACAGGGGAGCGAGCGAGAGGCTGTGTGTTGCTCAGTTGCCAGCTGGGGTTAAATCACAACACCCATACATCTTTTCTACCTACAACCTATTTCACATTCCTCCTCACTTGCTACATAACTGTTATGCTAATTCTACTGTCACAGTTCTGCTTGCTTTATCCGGCCTTGCAGGAGGGACCGAATAAGACTAACAGAAGACTCCCTGTCAGGAAGTAGCATGGATCAGTGTTCCAGAAGTCTTAATGCTGAAGCGAGAACAATGCAGAAGGCAAAACATCTGCTACAACTCCAACCATAACATACCCTCCCTCTGCTTCTGGAATAGCATTTGCAAATAGAATAAATAATACCAATTTCCTGAACACATCCTGGATACACGTAAGCCGAGGAAACTGCAGAACTGTCCATATTCATACAGTGGAATAGGCTGTTACACGTTATTTGAAAAGACACACTTCAGTAAAGATTCGTTATTAAAATAGCTCAAACTGGTCTAACTCAAATGCTGCCTGTTCACTTGGCAGCAGTCCTTATCCCACCTGTAGCTTCTAAACAACTAAATCATTTGCCAAGTCCTTTTCTCTCAACAGAGCCTCTTAGATTAATAGGGACAGCTGACCTCTGAGCCCTTAGAAGGGCAAGGCACTTGAATCTGTTCCTTTCCGATCACAGTCACTCAGGCCGTGAGGGACCTCGGGAGGTCTCTAGTCCAACCTTCTGCCCAAAGCAGGGACAACTGAGATCAGACCAGGTTGCTCAGGGCTTTGTCCACTGAGGCGTGGAAAAAGGATGCAGATGGCACAACCTCACAGGGCAACATGCTCCACTGCTTGACTGTCCCCTCATGGGGAAAAGGAGTCTGCTCATATCCAGTCTGAGCCTCTCATTTCCATTTAAGCCTCTCCCCACGTGGTCTCTCCCAACATTCAATGCTGCAAACAGCTTGACTCTAGAAGGATTTTACTGAGAAGAATGATAGTGGCAGGCTGCTACTAGGTCCCCTTGGAGCCTTCTCTTTTCCAGGCTAAATAAGCCCAGTTTCCTCACCAGGCAAGTGCTCTAGTTCCCTGTCCCTTTTGGTGGCCCTCCAGCTTTATCGATATCTCTTTCTTGTACTAGAGGACCCAAAATTGGACTCAGTAATCCAAATGCAGACTCATGAGTGCTAAACAGAGGGAGATAATCCTTTCCCTTGATCTGCTGGCTGTGCACCTGTTAATACAGTCCCAATTTGCTGTCGAATGCAAATCTGATGAGTGTTCTCCATTGTCTCCAAGTCATAAAGATGTTAAACAGGCCAGGTACCAGGACAGACCCCTGCAGTACCCCATGTGTTAGTCACCCAAGTAGAGCATGACCCACTACCCTCCGAGCAAACATCCATCTAGTCCTTTAACGTTGTCCACCCATCCAAACTGTAACATCCCAATGTGAATACCAAAATATTGTCAAGAGACAGTATTGAAAGCCTTGTTAAAAAAATAATCAAGCTAAGTGACAGCCACTGCTCTCCCCTCATCCATAAATCCAGTCATTTTATCACACAAGGCAATCAGGTGGGTCAAACATGATTTACCCTAGGTAAAAACATGCTGACTGTTCCCAACCAACACCACCACCCAGAGGCCTGAGAGACCTTCATGGTGAAGACTGAGGTAGAGAAGGCTGAGCACCTCAGCCTAACCTGACTCTGCTGTCACTAAGTTACCTGCCCCATTCAGCAACACGCCCACACTCTCCTCCCTCAATCTTTTACGATTAATGTCGTGGTAGAAGCTCTTCTTGCTGCCGTTGACACTCCTTGCAAGTCTCAACTCTAGCTGAGCTTTGGCTTTCCTGACACCATTCCAACACTCCCAAGCAAAGTTGCTAAACTCCACTTCATAAGGTGTCCTTGCTTCCAATCTCTATATACTGCTTTTTTGCACTGGAGCTCAGTTATGGATTCCCTGCCTAAGCCAATGTCCTGGTTTCA